GGTACCGTCACATTGGGGTTCGGGCTTCAACATAAGAATTTGGGGGGGCATAAACATTCAGCCCGTCACTGTGCCCAAATCTGCATCTCTAATTGGCCCTTTCTCCGTCTCCAGAACTACCTGTCAAGCTTCCTAGTTGGAGATTCACAAGAATCCACTTTGACCGCTGCATATACAAGACAAAACTCTTCCCCATCCTGTACCCAACAGACCTCTCCTTCATGGTCCTCGTCTCCATGAAACACACCAGCATCAACATAGGACTGAGGCCTGTGAATTACTGAGGGAGAATTTCAGGAGGGGAGTGAGATAAGGGAGACCTATGGGCTCAGTGGCCTTCTGCCTTCAGTCTGATCTATCTAGAAGCTCTATGGGGCATACATTGCACCATAATTCATGGCTTTTGTGCCCATCAGTCATTTTCTTTGGCTCAAGACAGGTGTCTAGAGAAGGGGGCAGCCAGCCAGTATTAGCAGCCACCACCCAGGGCAGCTGAGGAATGGGTACACTGGTCTGCAGAGGGAATGAGGACAGAACCCCAGTAGTGGCCGTTACTCCTGCTCCTCTAATTGCAGGCAGCATGTGGCCATCACGACCCCCTCACATAAAACTCCTAGAACTACACAGCTGAGTGCAAGGTCTTCAGCCAGTCTCGCTGCCAAGGGGCAAAGGAGAGGAATGAGGGTGTTCCCCATCAGTTAAAGCACTCGTCTCGTCCAGGGAGGGAGTATTACAGCTACTAGCTCTAGAATAGAGACTAAGTGTTCCTCTCCTAAAAAAAAAAAAAAAAAAGTAACACATTCACCTGTTCTATAAAAAGAATATTTTTTAGGGCAGTGCCTGTAGCTCAAAGTAGGGCACTGGCCCCATATACTGGAGGTGGCAGGTTCAAGACCGGCCCCGCCAAAAACTACAAAAAATGAAAAAGAATAGTTTTTAAAGAAAAGTCCAAGAACACTTGCCCTGCCCATTTTAATGAAATATTGGCATAGAAAAAGTCTCCCAAATATAGATGAATGCCCTGTCCTCACCTCAGTCCATATCTTTCCCCAGTCATTCCACAGGTATTTATTGAGCACCTACTATGTGCTATAGAAGTACACAGTGAGTGGGCAGCGGCTGTGGCTCAGTGAGTAGGGCATGGGCCCCATATACTGAGAGGGTGGCGGGTTTGAACCCAGCCCTGGCCAAACTGCAACAAAAAAATAGCCAGGCGTTGTAGCTAGCGCCTGTAGTCCCAGCTGCTCAAGAGGCTGAGGGAAGAGAATCGCCTAAGCCCACGAGCTGGAGGTTGCTGTGAGCTGTGATGCCACAGCACTCTACTGAGGGTGACAAAGTGAGACTGCCTCTAAAAAAAATAATAATAAAATATACAGTAAGAAAAAGTGGACAACTTGCTCAGTGGTCAGCCCTCAGTCAAAGGCAATGACTGATGGGCCCCAAAGCCATGAATTATGGTGCAGTTTATGCCCCAGAGCTTCCAGACAGATCAGACAGAATCTAGAAAGCCTCTGAACTTCCCTCCTGAAATACTCATTCGGTAATTCACAGTCCCCAGTCCTACATCCTCCTAGGGGGAAAGGGGCTTTGTTTTCATTACCTTTAATCCTTAATCTTGAGAGGTACTGTTGAATCCTATTTTACACAGTAGGAACTATGGCTCAGAAAGGTGAGATAATTAGTCCTAGACTAGCCAACCAGTAAAATACGAATAGTAGAGCAGGGATTTGAATATGTATGTTTCTGTGATTCCAAAGGTTGGGTCTTTTACCTAACTGAAGTCATGGCCAAAGAATAAAGATAAAAATTGAACTACCAAACAGAGATTTACAATTATTAGTTTAGTTCTATCCTAAAACACCAAAAAATAAATTTATTACATAATAAATATGCCATACAGCTAACATTCTCACGGTCACCCATACGAGTCAGTCTTCTCTAGTCCTCGCGTCCTGTTCTAGGCCCTCACCAGGATGGCTTGTGTAATGGTCCTATTTAAAGTCTCTTACTGGTTCGTAATTTAGGAGCAGGGGTTATTAGGTCTGTCATTTTAGTGTCATTCAACAGAATCTTCCACACAGCAACCAAATATCTGAGATACTTGATTCTAATTTCAAGTTCTGATACTTTTTCCTATAAACCTGTGAAATGCCCCATAAATTCTAGTATTTTGTCATTCATGCCACAATTGGGTCTTCCTGAATGGTTTAGAGGCCTGGCTTACACGTGTACAGTGCTTCTCAGCAAAGCCTTCTTGAATCCTTAGCCGTTCAGAGAGAGCACCACGTGTTGGGGGTTTTAGACTGTTAGTTGACGGAGCAGTGAAGGCTCAGGAGGAGAACTTTCTGGTAGAGAGTGTGGTACATGCCAAGGCCGGGAAGCAAACTAATAGAAAAGAAGCACATTCAGGGAGTGCTTGTAGGACGAGCATTACAGGGATTGTGGGTCAGTTCAGAGGGGATGGACAGATGGGCAGGGAATAAGCCGTGAATGCCTTGCTTGTCTTACTGGGGACCTTGGGTATTGACTTCACAGGCAACAGGGGTATCTTGAGAGATCTTCAAATAAGTAGTGACCTGCTCAGATTTGGGTTAAGACTGTGCTGGCAAGAGAGTGAGAGATGGATTAAGGACAGGTGAGCCTAGACGTAGAGAAAACACTTGAAGAGCTATTAGGACAAGCTTAGTGAGGCATGGTGAGAGTCTGTGCTGTGGCGCTGAAGAGGGAGGAGGTCCAGGTGTCTGCTAGGTATTATTATCGGGGTAGGGCTTATATCTAACAATGCATAGAAATCCTGCTAGGGCTGATTTTGGAGGTAGGTCTTATTTTCGGGGAAACACGGTATGTCCTTTGACAGACTGTTTGCAGCTGGCTTTATTTATGTCCATTATCCCAGCTTGATGGGAGCAGGGCAGATGTTTACATTCTCAGTCTAGGCTAATTTCTCCCTATAGGTCCTGTTAAAATACTTAAAAATTAGGTCCTAAAAAAGGCATTTAACAAAAGAACTAGTGTTTTCTAGTCTGACAATGAAAATAAATTTAAGAAGAACTGTCCAGGCTGGCGCCCGTCAGTCAGTGGGTAGGGCGCCGGCCACATATGCTGGGGCTGGTGGGTTGGAACCCGGCCCGGGCCTGCTAAAAACAGTGACAATTATAACAAAAAAATAGCCAGGCATTGTGGTGGGTGCTTATAGTCCCAGCTACTTGGGAGGCTGAGGCAAGAGAATCACTTAAGCCCAAGAGTTAGAGGTTGCTGTGAGTTGTGATGCCATGGCACTCTACCACGGGCAACATAGTAAGACTGTCTCAAAAAAGAAAAACTGTCCCATTTCTTTAAATCTGAAGTCTCCTGACCTGGGAGCCCTGTGGACTGATCTCAGAGGCAAGCCTCACCTGTGTGCCCACAGGCCCATTTCTTAAGAAGCTTCCTGTATTATTCAAATTCTTAACAGGATCTCTAACCCCAAAAGGGTTATTGGCACTCACTGGTCCACCTCTCCTCAGTGACTTCTTCATCAAAAGCCTTGATTGAAAACGATTCCATGATACAAGTCACTTAAACCACTCATATAATTTATATTATAAATTTGTTACCTTTAAATTTGTGCTTTTGCATAAGCCATATAACTTGATATTTCAAATCGTTTTTTTTTCTTGATAGATAAAATATTTTGATAAAAGAAGAGACTACTTAAAATTCAAAGAAGAATTTGAAGCAGGAAAATTCCAGCATTCAAAAACAACTGCAAAATCCTAGGCTGTTCCTGAACTTTTCAAAATGGTTAAAACTACTTTTTGGACATTGACACGGCTGCATGGTCAGCAGAGCCGTGAATCATGGTAAACATCAGTGCTTGTTTCCTGTATACAACACTGAATAAGAAAAGTGATCAAGGAACATAAGATTCATGAAGAATTGAAATAAAATGGCATTAAATATGCTTTAAGAAATCTATATTTTAAGAAAA